TATCAACTGCTATCTTCTATTTTACTACTTGCATCAGCAAATTATCAATTTATATCGTAAAGAGAATTAATGAGTATGCTTCAAAAAAGCAAACAAAAGGCTGGGGATATATAGCTCAGTTGGTACAGTGCTTGCCTCGCATGCACAAGGCCCTGGGTTAGATGCCCAGCACCATAAACAAAACAAACAAAAAAAGCAAACAAAGCAAAAGAAATTATAATAGATTATTCTTTCTAATTAAAATCAGAATTAATGCTAGAAATACAGGCAGATGTAAACATTTGGCCAAAAGCCAGTAAAACCAAATTTAATGACAAACATATAACTGAATAATAGCATGGAAGGAAATCTACACACGAACAATTTTAAAGACAAAAGCCTTTAACCCAGATTAAGTAATCCCAATTATAAGACTGAATTACTGACACTAATACTTTGACAATGAAGCTCAAAAATGCTAATTTTCAGTATAGTTTTTTATATTAAGCATAGTCCTATTAACAATAACTACAAAAACAAAAATTAGTATTTTTATACCTATAAATCTTGGGAATCTTAAGAATAGTTCTGACTTAGTAGTTCTAAGTAACAGAATGGGAAGATTTTAGTAGTTGAAATTTCAGCAATTTCCACCCACTGAGAATTTAATGGGTGCCTGTTACTGGAATTCACCAATCAAATGAAGTTTAGACTAACCATAGAAACAGCTCAACCAATTACACTTCAGGGTAGAATCCACCTATCAAATCTTTCTCACATATAAAGCAAAAGCCCTATTTTCACAGCAACAGCAGCCTAAAAATCCTCCAATGGAATATATGTAATTCTAGACCCTCCTCCCAGTCTGATTCCGGTCTACAATAGTGCCTAGAATATGCATTTTAATCACTCTTTGCCCCATACTCCTGAGGAGATGGCAGTCTTAACCACATTTTCAAGAATGCCAAAATACCATATAAAAAACAATTGATGTTAATCACGCTACATACCTTATCAATTTTCTCTCTCTCTCTCTTTTTTGGTGGTGCTGGGGATTGAACCCAGGGCCTTGTGCATGCAAGGCAAGCACTCTACCTACTGAGCTCCTCTTTTTGTTAATTTCAAGTTTTAATCTTTAAGTCACAATTATTTTAATATATAACAGCCTCTAGAACAGTTATTTCTCAAAGTCCCAACATTATGAAGCTAAGAGTAAGCTTAGTACGCTCTCCATTTAAGTGGAAATCCATAATTAATCCTCTTTAGCAAACTACAAGTCCTCAAATCCCTGCCCTCTTAACTTGTCCAGTTATTATCTTCACTATCATCAATTCAACCTTAACTACTACTCACTACTTTTAACTTAATGCATAATTCTTTATCGCCACCTATTCTGTCTAGATGTTAAGCTCTACATTGTATTTGTCTCTTCAGGTCTACTAAAAAGACCTCTAGGTTCCAGATCTTAATGTCCTACTATAGTCATAACCCAAACCAGAATTTTTTCTTTGAACATTGCTTTTAGTGCAATTTTTAAAAAATTTAAATGGTATAATGGAATCTGCATCAGGTTTTGGAATCCAATGGGTTCAAATGTTGCCATTTTCTGTATGCATAACCTTGAGTAACTTAATCTTTCCCAAGTCTCAACAGCAAAATCACCTACATTTCACATTGACTCAACTACTTGAACATATGCAAAGATTTAAAATCATTCTTTAAACACAGCACAAAGAAAAACTCTCAAGAGTCTTCCCCACCCACAATTTTACCTGCAAAGCACCAATAGCTGCGCTCTGGAAGCGCAGATCTGTTTTGAAGTCCTGAGCAATTTCTCGCACCAGACGCTGGAAGGGGAGTTTGCGAATCAGAAGTTCAGTGGACTTCTGATAACGTCTAATTTCACGGAGTGCCACAGTACCAGGCCTTCAAAAAAAAAAAAAAAAAAAAAAAATTAACATTAAAGAAACTGTTGCCACACAAAAAAGTGGTCAGCTTTAAAGAAATGCAATAATTTTTCTAAAAACAAACCATCCAGGTATTCTTCAGCCTCAGTATTAAATATTACTTAGCCAGGCTGCTAATAAAGACTCTTTAGCTGCTTCTCATTTTGGTACCACTCTTTTTTAATATAGCTGCACCCTAAATTATTTTAAAAGCCCTCAAATACTTGTGAACATAACCCAGTATGTCATTTAAAAAGTGGTTTTTAATTTTTTTTTTTTTTAGAATACCTGTATTTTGACTTCTGTCATCCCTCACGAATAATGAAATTTGTATACTCCTTATTGTACAGTGTTTCTTGGAAGTTTGGAAGCTTTTCTTTTCTTTTTTTGGATGGCAGCCCTGGGGATTGAACCCAGGTATGCTCTACCACTGAGCTATGTCCCTAGCACTTTTTGAGACAGGGTCTTAACAAGTTGCTGAAGCTGATGTTGAACTTGCCAGGCTCTACCTCCCAAGTTGCAGGAATTACGGGAGTGCACTATTATGCCTGGCTTCTTTAAAAACTAATTGTCTACAAAAAAATTTTACCTAATTCCGACTTGTTTCTTCCACTGAATAGGATAACTGTAAAATTCGCAGTCTACCTAATTATGAACAACTTCTGCCCTCTAATGGCAGATGTCCTTAACAACATTGCTTAGCCGAAACTCAAATAAGCTAATAAAGGAGGAAATAAACCAATCAACTAAATGAGGGATGGGGACTTTATTAACAACCCAATTTTGATTAATGTTTTACCACAAGCAAGAATGGCTACCCAGAAAAAATTTAAAAAGCACTTTATTATTCAAAAAATACTAACAGCTGACTAAATGTTAATTTATCCCATTAACATTTTTACTGATGAATTAGATCCCCTTAGGCCTCTAGATCAGTTATGACTTCAAAATTAATGTTTCTAGTAAGATCCAATACTAAATTACACACACACACGCATTTAATTAGTAAATATTCAAAAAGAAACACAACAGTTTCCCTAAAATAAAGTTTGACTGTTAATCATCTTTTTTGTTACATTATTTGGATACTACAGGAGACTTTGTCCCATTTCTTCCTTTAATACCTGTAACGATGAGGTTTCTTCACCCCTCCAGTAGAGGGCGCACTCTTACGAGCGGCTTTTGTAGCCAGTTGTTTCCTGGGTGCTTTACCACCGGTCGATTTGCGGGCAGTCTGCTTTGTACGAGCCATGGTAGAAAGACCTCCTTACTTACCTACCAGCATTAAAAATAAAAAAAAATTCACCATATGCAACTACTAAACATCCAAGTTTCCTGTCACTACCCCCCCCCAAAAAATCTGGAAACTATGATTAGTATAGAAAAAAAGTCCGTAATGTTATATAATGTGAAAAGGTGTGGATTACGCCTATCACCTAAATATGACTTCTTGAAACAAACTGTAGTAGTAGAAAATTGTTAGTATTAATACCAGTCGTCTTTCAAAATGCCAATTCTGAGCGACAAACGGCAAAACAAAAAGCCCCATAAAAGCCTTTGATCTAATTTCTTTAATTAGAAATTAGAAATGTCTGTAAACATTCGAGCCACAAACAAGTCAAAAGAACGAAGCCACAAACCACTGAAAGGTCGAGTCAAATTACAGCAAAAAAAGGTTTTAACCCCCCCACCCCCCCCTCGCGCCTGGCAGTTAATGGATTGCTGTAAATATCTGAAAACATTCTTGGTTTTGCATCTTTACAGTTAATGTTGACAAAAAGACGTCTCGATAAACAAGGGGAACAACAGCTACCACCACTGAGCATTCTACAAAGCACTGTCCTCGCGTCCAGTCCTCACAAGCTTCGCAATGAAATAAAAGTGCCCCGCACCCAGTCTTTAATTAACGCACGACACCGACCGACCCGTCCACCCCAAGCACCACATAAACTTTTGGTTTTGCTTCCTCCGGGTTCCTCGGCACAGGGTCCCTCCAGCCTGCCCGCCTCGCTCAGGCACCAACTCGGCTCCAAGACCAGAACAAAATGGAAACAATCGCAAAACGTATCCGATTCCCTTCCAAAGAGACAAAACACCAAATCGCTCGAAAATACCTCGATCCTCTGCCACGTGCCGCCCTCCAAAATGCAAAAGTTTTTTTTTGCATTTCAAATGCATCAAGTTTCCACTTCTCCAAAAAAGGAAAAAAATGTCCTTCTTTTAAATTTTTTCCTCCCTTTTTAAAATGGGGAAGAGAGAAACGGGGGAAAAATATGGTCGGTGACCAGAGAAGAGAGACAAGATGGTGAAGCTTAGCAACAACTGTGGGGAGGCAGCAAAAAGCGAGTTACCCCAGGGTGGGAAGCGGCGGCGATTTCACCTCTTTCCCGCCCGAAAACTGGGGGCTGGGACCCGGGGGCGGTAGTTAAGGGGCCCGCGCGGGTCGTGGTGAAGGTTTGGGGTCCGGGGAAGGGACATCAGGAGGGATTTCACCGAAGAAAGAGGAGCCAGGGGCGCGGGAGGAGGGAGAGCAGGCTCGGCGCCGCGTTGCTGCTGTAGGGCTGAGGCGGCGAGAGACGGGAGAACCGCCGCCGCCGCCTGGGGGAAGAGGCAAACTCACTCCTCACCTCCATTTCTGGGCCAAAAAGTTTGTGGGCTAAGCTAAAGGGGCTGTGGGTCCCTTCCCCGCAACGGCAGGGCCCGGTTCAGGGCTGACGGCAAGGGGGGCTCGGTTCCGGAGAAGCGGGCAGATGGGAAAACTTACCCCCCTTCTCCTTCGGCTGGAGCTCGGCGAGCTAGAGGCGGCGCTGGCGTTAGAGAGCGACGGCGGCGCGGCGGCGGCTGCGAACACAATTGAAAGATGGCTGACACCGAGGCTATCCCCCAACATACGCCGTCCCGCCCCCGCGCCGCGCGCCAGCCAATCACACACAATGGAGGGAAGGCTCGGCTCCGCCCCCGAGTCCCCGCTTGCGCCCCGCCCTCTCCCCTCCCCCCGCGCGCCCGTTCGCTGGCGCGCGCTCGCCCCTCCCCCGCGCGTCGCCTGCTCCCTCCTCCCAGCCGCCTCGCGCTGTGTGTGTACAAACACAAAAGACACGCCGAGGGGCAGCCGGCTCCCGCCGAGAGGGCCGCCCGCCCCCATCTAACTCTTGCCCCGGGTCCTGTACTCCCACCCCACTCCGTGCGCCCACGTCATCGAGACCCCGAAGCCTAGGTTTGGGGAGCCGAAGGGGAAGTAGGGGGAGGGGAGGAGGCACCGCGGAGGAACTGGCCTGCGGGCGATGCGGGGGGAGGGGCCGCTCCGCCCCCGCGCGGGCTCTGGTGCGCGCCCCCGAGGCGCCCCGGGCAGCGTGGGGGCGGGGAGGAGGACGCGGCCACCAGGTCGCCGCGCCCCAGTTGAAAATACTCCCTAACAGGAAGCTTGCAAATGGAAACCTGGCGTCCTGCGCCCACTTTCGGATGGGGCTGCTGCAGCAGCTGGCGGGCGGACCGGCGGTCCTGTAACCTCTGTTGCTCCGGGCTAAGCGCGGCCGGGTCCTGCGGGTCGGGCTGAGTGCCTGCGGACAACTTTATCCGCTCAGACTCCAGCCGCGGCGGAGCGGGCAGCCAAGGTGCGCTTCGGGCTGCGCGGTGGACAGTCATCCCCTCGGAGGTGACTGTTTGCCGTTCCAGGGGACGGGGCTCGCCCTCTCCCTGGGCCAGGGTGCCTGATGCAAGATGGCTGTATTTTGTAAGCCTCTAAAACAATGTATGGAATACAACGTTAACTGTACAGGGCCTGTCCTGGGAGTTTGTCCTACCAGCCAGAGTGGGCCTTGTAACCGTCTCAGTATTTGGTAGGATTACTTCGGAAAGAGGCTTGCCAAATATAATAGCGTAGTCCAGTGTTGTCAGCTTCAGCATAGTTTGCAAGGGGCTGAAAACGGCAGAAATAAGGGAAACATGGTTTACGAATTATGTTTAACCATTTTCCAATTCTCGGTAGCCTGCAGAACAGACTTCATGGCTCAAGCTACCCTCATTAACTGGCGGTTGATTGGCTAACAAACAGCTGAACCTTCCTAGATATTGACAACGCTCTACAACTGTCTGTGCACGTTTTCCGTAGAAGTGTCATGAAGACATCCCATAGGATGGTGAAGGAGACAAATTTCACAGATAAAGGACACTACTATCTGTAATCTGAAGACCTCAAAAGCATCTTAGTCATAAACATTATCCTGAAACAGATAAATGGAAATCAGATATGAGGGAAGGAATGGATTGGTCCAAGGTCACTTAAGTGAGGAACAGACCTAGGAGAAACAAAATAATCCAAGCTTGTTTCATTATTATTTAATGAATGTTAAGTGTCCATGGTTGCTATACAGAACACATAAAATCTGCGATCCTGTCTTAAAAGCACATGCAAAAAATCCTCAGCTTAGCTGCCAGCGAAGAATTCCTACAGTTTAACCCAAGGGAAAGAGGTTTTTTTGTTTTTCTTTTTTGTTTTGTTTTCAGGAAACCAAAATATTTGTTGCTGGATTTATACAGGAAGGCTGTTGTACATCAGTTAAATTCATATTGTCAAGAAATGTTAAAATGACAGGGGTAATGTTCTCTTTGTATGCTATATTTTCCCATAAGTTTCTTCTTCCAGGCTTTAAATAAATGCCTAAGGAATGGAAAGACTGTTTCAGGTGAAATAATTCTGAACTTGGAATATCTGAACCAACTGTTTCCTGTCTCTACCATGTAGATAGTAATATTTATTTATGGGAAGGTATGCTACAACCTCTATCTTCTAGTTGTAGATTGATTATTAAGCACCTGGATAAGTGACTGGATACCTGATGTTAGCTTCAGGAAGTTTTTTTTTTTTTGTACTAAGGATTGAACCTAAGGTGCTCTACCACTGAGCTATATCTCCAGAACACATGCATACTTTTTTTTTTTAAGACAGGGTCTAAGTTGCTGAGGTCTGGAACTTGTAATCCTCCTGCCTCAGCCTTCTGAGTCTCTGAGATTACAGGTATGAGCCACTGTGACCAGCTAGGAAGTTTTCTCATTAGATGAATATGTATTGCTTGCCAACTCTGCTCCGCACACACCTAGGTGCTAGGATTATAGCAGTGAACACCACCAGCGACATTCCCAACTTCATGGTGCTGCCTTGCTTCCTTATAGGGAAGTAGCACTTGGCCAGGGAGCAGGATGCTTTGGAGCCCCTTTGGCAAAAACTCAGGTTAAAGGGAAAGGGATTGTAGAGTCCAGATGGTGGAGAAGGAGAACTGCCAAGGCAAAAAGGAATTTTTATTTTTCTTTTGAAGTACTGGGGATTGAACCAGGGGTGCTTTACTGAAACTACATCCCTAGCCCTTTTTTATTTTGAGACGGGATCTTACTAAGTTGCCCAGACAGACCTGGAATTGGCTGAGGTGGCCCTCAAACTTGACATCCTCCTCTCTTAGCCAGCCAAATGGCTAGGATTGTAGGCTTCCAGGTGTAGGACACCTTACCCTGCCGCAAGAGGGAATTGGTAGGGGGCACCAGGGGTCAGTGCTGAATTGGTTTTACTTCTGAAACTCATGGGCTAATAATGGCCTCAACATTTGGAGTTTAAAAAAAAAAAATGGGGGAGGAGGGGTATAAAAGCCTTAAGGTGAAAATATTTTCCCTAGAATAGAATACTTAAGGCTGCTAATTTAGATTTGTTTATAAGTAAAAGTATAGAGTGGAAAGGATTTTAAAAGCACCACTCTTCATATCCATTTGGCTCCTGTCAGTCAAATGAAAAGATTACTGCCTCATGGAAATGTTTCTGGCTACTTTAGTGCTACCACTTACATGTTATCACATCACTCTTTTTCTTTGTCATGTTGATTTAAACCTATCATCTGTTTATTGTTCATTATCTGTTTCCTCCCCAAAGAATGTGACCTAGGATAGAGATGGTCTTACCTGTTTCTTTATCCTATCTGAGCATTGCTCCCCCTGATTACCACCCTGCACACACCAGTTAGGAGCCTTTCCCCATGATCTCATACAGTTCCATGGAAATTATCATATACAAAGGTAGAGAAAATAGTATAAAGAACCCCCATGTACCCATCACTCAGCTTCAAAAATTATCCACTCATCACCAATCTTGTGTTTTATCTTCTCTTTCTCTCACTCCTCCCACCTCCTCACTTGAATTGTTTGAAGCAAATCCAGTCTACATCATTGCATCTGTTGATATTCCAGTATGTATCATAGAAGACAAATAAATGATCTGTGCATTTCTTAAATCTTACAGTCTATAGTCTATAGTGCACTTTGTTGAAAGACATGGGTCATTGGTCCTCAGGTTTTGTCTTCCCTTCCCCCAACTTCCCCTCCCTCAGTCTTGCCCAGTAAATAGCACTACCATTTACTCAACTGCTTAAGCCCAAAAGTACAGACATTCTTCTGGCACCTCTCTTTCTTTCACCTGTGTAGGTAGTCCTATTGATTCTGCCTCTGAAATGCTTCTCAGAACCATCTGCACTTGTCCCCACCTTTCACTGGTACTCCCTGGGTGGTCTTCCTCTTTCAACTCTAGCACGTCTGTATTCCATTCTTTGTACAGCACACATGGATTATAGATTATAGGGAAAAAATTTATAGTAGATCACACCATTGTTAAATCCACTCAATGACCTCCCATGCACTAGGTTAGATGCCACATGCATGGGGACTGGCGTTACTGCTTCCTTCTCTCAGTTCTATGCTGCAGACCAGCCACCTCTGTTTACCAAGTCCGACCTTGCTTTAGGGTTGCTGCACCTCCTGCTTCCCAGGCTTGAATGCTCTTCCCTCATCTTACCATCTTCTATGGCAAGATTTCTGACCTTTCCCATGTCACTTTATTTTAAAAAAATGGTCTTTAAAAAAAATTATTTATTGTTCCTGGGCATTAAACCCAGGGTACTTTACCACTGAGCTACATCCCGTGTTCTTTTATATTTATTGATTTTTTAAATTTTGAGACAGGGTACCACTAAATGCTGAGTGTGGCTTTGAACTTGCAAACCTCTTGCCTCAGCCTCCTAAATCTTTGGGATTACAGGTGTATACCACCACACCTGCTTAGAAAATGGTCATATTCTAAGGTTATATAGAGGAGCAGAGGAGGAGATTTGGAGCCATTCAGTATGGAACTTGATTTTATAATTCATTATATATTTCTAGCTTATATAATCACTATAAGAAAATTTTATGTTTCAGGGAAGATATTAAATGTGAAACTTGTGAAGACTCCCAAATAAGTCATTTTGAAAATTTTCAATGAGAAAATTTGAGTTTACTTCTCAGAACATAGTTTTTTGTATCAGGTTTTATGCTTGAAATGGACAAATGCAATTCCTGATCAAGACTTTGTAACAGTGGGGCCCAGTGCAGTGGTGCACGCCTGTAATCCCAGTGACTAGGGAGGCTGAGGCAGGAGGATCGCAAGTTCAAAGCCAGCCTCAGCAATTTATTGAGACCCTAAGCAACTTACTTTTTTTTGTTTGTTTGATTCTGGTATTTTAACCCAGGAACAACACTTTACCACTGAGTTACATCCCCAGCCCTTTTATTTTTTTTTTTTTTATTTTTGAGACAGGATTCTGCTAAGTTGCTTAGGGCGTTGCTAAATTGCTGTGTTGCTAAACCCCCCCTAGGCTGGTTTTGAACTTCTGATCCTCCTGCCTTAACTTCCTAAATTGTTGGGATTATAGGTGTGTACGACTACCCAGCCCTAAGCAATTTAGTGAGATCCTGACTCAAAAAGGGTTGGGGATGTAGCTCAGTGGTAAAACACCCATAGGTTCAATCCCCATTCCAAAAACAAAACAAAACAAAAGACTTTGTAATGATGAGGCTCTGGGAATGTAATTCAGTAATAGAGCACTTGTCTAGCATGGATGAGGCCTTGGGTTTGATCCCCAGGACCACTACCAAAAAAATTACAATGAATATCTCTTCAAATTTGTGACAATCCTGTCGTTGACTTTGCTCATACAAATAGGTGATAAAAAATTAAAAAAATTTTTCAGTCATTTAAAACATAACAAACTGGGTGTGGTAGCACATGCCTGTAATTCCAGCTGTTTTGGATTGTAGGCTGAGGCAGGAGGATCACAAGTTCAAAGCCAGGCTCTCAGCCACTTAGCAAGGCCTTAAGCAACTTAGTAAGACCCCCATCTCTAGGGGTTGAGGTTGTGGCTCAGTGGTAGAGCACTAGCCTAGCACAGGTGAAGCATGAGTTCAATTCTCAGCACCACATAAAGATAAATAAATAAAGGTATTGTGTCAATCTACAACTAAAAAAATATTTAAAAAAAAAAACCCTATCTCTAAATAAAATATTAAAAAAGGGCTGAGGATGAGGCTCAGTGGTAAAGTGCCCCCTAGGTTCAAGCCCTGGTACCAAAAACAAGAACAATAACAAAAATGTATAACAGTTGAAGTTCTATATTTAAAATTCTTGTCAGTTGCAATGGCACATACCTGTTATCCCAACTATTCCAGAGGCTGAGGCAGGAGAATCGTTTCAGCCAGAAAAAATTACGAAACAACTACAACAAAAAAATTCTTTCTTTCTAAAAAAATATATATTTTTTAATTTTGCTTATTTATTTTTATGTGGTGCTGAGGATCGACCCCAGTGCCTCACATGTGCCAGGCAAGTGCACTACCGCTGAGCCACAGCCAATTAAACTTAAAGAGTTTAATTAGAAATAATGATGTGGCTCAAATTGCAGAGTGCTAAGCAGTCACCCTGCAGTTGCCAAAAGGGCCTATAAACTACAAACGGAAAGAAGTACCTGGTCGGGGGACAGAAATTTGGGTCTGCGCCAGGAGTCCTGTTCAGCCCCCTTGTCTCCAATCTGACTGGCTACATTTGGGGTGTTTCCAGTGTTCTTTGGACACCTGGCAAGGGAATTTCTCAGGCTCCTTGGCCATGATAGGTGGACTCTGCCTTGCAGGACTAAGGCAGGGGTCCAGAGGCCTGGGTGCTTCCTCATCTGTGCTCAGTGCTTTACAGGGAACAATGAGTGGTGGATCTGCTTAGCACTATGTAGACCAAGGGACATGATTAGGCCCTCTCCTCTTTGCCCAGACTGTCCTCCAAGGAGCCCCATATGGAGCTGCTCCCAGCAAAGGACACTGATCCCTAGAGATGAGGGGACCTTTTCTCCTAGTACCTCTGTAGCCCACAGTGAAGTCTGCTCTTGGATCTCAGCTCCATTATCACCCCTCAGACACTCCTGAGTCCCTGTGTTCCCTGTCCCCCACCTTTTTTTTTTTTTTTTGTATTGGGAATTAATCCCAGGGTCATTTTACCATTGAGCTATATTCCCAGCCATTTTTTTATTTTTAATTTTGAGGCAGGTATCTCTAAGTTGCCCAAATTGACCCTAAACTTGTGATCCTCTTGCCTTAGCCTCCCAACTCACTAGGATTACAGGTTTATGTCACTGCCTGGCCCTGTTCCCCATTGTCTCTTTTTCATACTTATTTTCTTCATAGCAACATCCACAAGTTGACATTTTGTTGATTTATTTGCTGATTTGTGGTCTCCTCCACTGAATTATGAACTTAGTAGGGTCCTCAGTGTTATACACTGCTTTCTCCATCAAACTTGTATCATACCAAGCTCATGCCAAACACACAATATTTGATGACTGAATAAGTAAAAACTCATTTTTTATCAAGTGTTACAATCAATTATAGGATATAATAATAATTTTTCAGGAGGAAACTGGGGATTGAACTCAGGGGCACTCATCTGCTGAGCCTCATCCCCAGCCCTATTTTGTATTTTATTTAAAGACAGGGTCTCACTGAGTTGCTTAGCGCCTCGCTTTTGCTGAGACTGGCTTTGAACTCGCAATCCTCCTGTCTCAGCCTCCCGAGCTGCTGGGATTACAGGTGTGTGCCACCACGCCTGGAAATTATAGAATATACTTTGCAGGACAATTCAAATCTGAAAAACCATACCTCTTAGAATTTATGAGTACAGTGTGTCGGTATTCTCACAAATAAAAGGGAGAGTAGGATATTTCTTTCATGGTGAAATTGTGAGATTGAAATGGGCCCATTTGACCAGGCCTAACTATCACCATTAATGTTTTTATTTTTTATTATTGTTATTGTTATTATTATGGGGGGATTGAATCCAGGGAGTTTCACATGTTAGGCAAGTGTCCTATGTTATGATTTAGATGTGAGGTGTCCCCCCCAAAGTGAGACAATGCAAGAAGGTTTAGAGGTGAAGTGATTGGGTTTATGAGAGTTTTAATCCAGTCAGTGAATTAATCCCCTGATAGGTATTAACTGAGTGGTAACTAAAGGCAGGTGGGGTGTGATTGGGGTCTGCCTTTGGAGTATATATTTTGTCCCTGGTGAGTGGAGTCTCTCTCTGCTTCCTGGTGATGTTCTGAACTGCTTTCCTCCAGCACATCCTTCTGCCATGATGTTCTGCCTCGGTTTGAGCCCTGAGGAATGGATTCAGCCTTCTGTGGATTGAGAACTCTGAAACTGTGAACCCCAAATAAAGTTTTCCTTCTTAAAATTATTCTTGTCAGGTTTTTTGGTCATAGTAAGGAAAAAGCTGACTAAAACACACTACCACTGAGCTAAATCCCCAGACCATTTTCTATTAATTTTTGAATACTCTTTAAGTGATTGATGGCTTCTGTTCTTATCATTCTTCTCCGTGCACCAAGCAATTGTGGAATTGTGGCTGGGCTGTCTATGTAGATTGGAGATGTCCTCCCGATATTGGGAGACCTTACATTCTGTTTATAAGTGAAGACATGGAGGGCCTCCTGGTTCTGCATTAATTTTGGTGAACTGGGTTAGTGTTGGTCTGAATGCCAAAAAATTAAAGTGGTTTCTGACACTACCAAGCTCAGAAGCACACTGTGAACCACAGTGAATTCCTGCATATACAGAGCACCTGGTGAAGCCTCTGGTGGATGTTAGGCTGAATTTGAGATGCTCCCCAACACTCTTTAAATTCCAATATTCTGACATAATGGTATTTATACTTCTGAAAGTAAAAAAAAAAAAAAATCTACAAAAAAAGGAGGATTCTTTCTTTTAAAAAAGCATTCCCTCTTATCTGAGAACCAGATTGTCTAAATTCAAGGAAAGCAGGGTACCGGAGGGGAATGTAGTCAGTGGTAGAACACTTCCATAGCATGCACTATACCCTAGATTTTATCCCCTGTACCATAAAAAGTTAAAATTTAAAAGATGCAGGGGTCAATAAATGCTAACTATTCTTCTGAAGGAAGAGGAATTGAGTTATTGAGTTTCCTCTGGTAGGCTTGAGACTATTTACCCAAGGACTTGGGTGACCAGGACCCCAAATTACCTTGCACTGTTTTGTTTTTTTTTTTAAATAATCCAAGCAGTATCTTCTTCTTTTTCTAGTCTCAAAAAAATTTTAATGCCGGGCCGGGTGGCTCACACCTGTAATCCCACTGGTTAGAAAGGAGTATCTCGAGTTCAAAGCCAGCCTCGGCAACTTAACGAGGCACTAAGCAACTCAGTGAGGCCCTGTATCTAAATAAAATACGAAATAAAGCTGGGGATGTGGCTCAGTGGTTGAGTGCTCCTGAGTTTAATCGCCGGTACCCCAAAAACCACAAATTTGAAAAAAAAACAAAAAACTTTTATGGTACTGGGGGTTGAACATAGGGGCGCTCAACCTCTGATCTATGTTTCCAGCCCTTTTTATTTTTTATTGAGTCAAGACCTAGCTAAATTGCCCAGACTGGCTTTCAACTTGAAATACTCCTCCCTTAGCCTCCTGAATTGCTGGAATTACAGGTGTGTACCACCCAATCAGGCTAAATTTTTTTTTTTTTTTATACAGGGTCTTGCTATGTTGCCTGGCCTCAAATTTTGTTATCTTTCTGCTTTAGCCTCCCAAATAGTTGAGATTATAGGCATATGCCACCACACCTAGCTTAAATTCTTATATAGATCCTCTTTCACTTCTAGCTTTTATTAGAGTATTTGAGGATTGGGGATGTAGTTCAGTTATAGAGTGTTTGCCTAGCATGCACAAGGCCCTGGGTTCAATCCTCAGTACAATAAATAAATAAATACTGGACAAGTAAACTCATATAATCTGTCACATTAAGAATTTTTCTTTTTAATAGACTTTAGTTATATTAAGAATTTTAATTGCAGAACACATCAAACCTGAAATGTGAAACCTTGACCTTGACAGTGAAAATTTCTGTTATCTCAGTCTGAAAATTCTTGTGCCTGTCCTATAAACTCAGAAGGTTTGTCCCTCCAAGGCTGAAATGTGAGAGCATAGGGTCCGAGTGGTTCTCTATTGAGATGATAAGCTTTCTTTGGAAGTTTTCCTATACTGACACCCATCCAGGGCAAGACACATCCTAGATACTTTCCCCAAACCTCACAGAAGGAACTCTTCCTTTTGTTAGCCCTCAATCTCAGCCCACAACATCCTCCCCTGCCTGAATTGTCAGATAAAATGGTACCCAGACATACCTACACTAAGAAGTGATTCATTGTTTATCTATATTTCAAATTTAATTGAGCATCCTATTATTTGCTAAATCCACACCTTAACCCCTGCTAAAGTGTTATTTCTTTTAACTCTCACGGTCCCCTATCCCTGCTCGTGTTGCTCAAGCTGTTCTGAGCTGTTCAGTGGCTGAAACTGGCTTCCTTCCATGGGCCTGGAGGGCTGGTGTCACCTGCATCCTTACCACATCCATCTTTCCTTTTCTAGCCAGAGAATTGCTTCCAGGTAAGATCTCTATATTTAGGATAAGGAGACACCATGCCATCTTGGGTCCCCCAACTGGTATCCCTCAGGGACTTTCACATTTCTCCACAGTTGTGGCCAAGCTCCCTCCTAAATATTCAGCCTACCGCAGGGAATATCTGGGATCCTCTTTAGAGTTACAAGGCCTGCTGTGAGGGTAGACAATGCCATCAACTAAATAATGTTCCTATTTAGTCCTTCACCCTAAAGAAGATATTCTATAATAATCCCCGTGGCACAACCAGGATAACAGGAGGTCAAATATGAAGGGCAGGGGATTTGGAGTAAAATGGGAACTGAATTTAAATCCCAGTGCTGCCCCTTATTGCCAGCCAATTATTAACTTCTGGCTCCTGGCTTCTTCATCTATAACTAATGTGGGTGAAATTACCTTGAAGTATAACAGTAATCCTAATAATTCTACCTACCAGGACAGTGTAAAGTTTAGAAAGGACAATATGGAACCCTTGACACAGGATTCAGGCTCCTCAAATGATGACCCATTGTGCCACACCTATCTTTACTGCTCAGGAGAAAATGATCTGATCTTTGTTGTGATTTGAAATACCTGAATGAATACTTCCCAAACACATTCACAAATAAACTTTTTGAAACCTGAAGGTCCAGGTTACCTTAATAATGATTTGTCATACCTTTATTTGGCTTCACAATCCTTTGCTAGGTAGCTAGTCAGTACTGCCCAGGGCATTGTATGACCCAGTACTTCTACATGAAATTTAAGGAAGATACGTAAGTAAGCAATAGCTACATTCTTAGAAGCCCCGTAATGTCCCCCAGTGGAATGGTAACATCCCAGAGAGGGGTGGGGGGGGGGGGGACAGGAAAAGCTTTTGCCATTGTACGCCAGGCCCTGCCCATGGGTCTTTACAGGATCTTCTGTCTGTTCAGAAGTGTGAGCAAACTCAATTCCATGGAAGAGGCTCTTACTCACTTTCAGTAAGACTGGTTTATCTTAGGATGGTATTCCCAGGAGGGATCAGCTTGCCCTTGCTTCTGGGTTTCTTGAACACCCAAAGTAGCTTATCACTGGAAAGAGTCACTGATGAAACAGAGGTCGACTGTCATTTCAGAGGCAAACCCCTGAAACTTAAGAGTCAACAAAGCAACTCCAACATTAAGCATGATTTCTACAGAGATTATTAAAATTCCTTCTCTAAGCACTTTTGCAACTTTTCATTTGTGGGTATGGAATCCCCCTGCTTCTGAATCAGTTCAGTGCTTGGAAATTTTAGAGATCAATGTTTGTGTCAGGAAATGAGTAAAGAAAATTAAAAGATATTAATCCAAATAATTTTGGTTAAAAAAAAGTATGTGGACTGAACAGATTTTTTTTTCTTTATTCAGTTTGTTTTTTAAATTTTATTTTTACAGAGGAACAATTTGACTTTTATTTATTTATTTGGTACTGGAGATTGATCCTATGGGAATTTTACCACTGACTTACATCCTCAGTCCTTTTTATTTTCTATTTTCAAAACGGTTTTGCAAAATTGTGGAGGCTGACCTCAAACTTGGGATTCTCCTGCCTCAGCTTCCCAAGTTGCTGGGATTATAGGTGTGTGCCACTGCACCTAGCCAATATTACTTATATACTCAGAAAAAAAATTTAAAGTGCAAAAACTGGGAAAAAGCACCCATGGCTGTTGACAAGTGACTGGGATAAATGACCCTGTTCTGGAGTTCAGCTTTTGCCATCATGTGCCAGGTCCTGCCCATAGGTCTTTACAAGATCTTCCAGCTGTTCAGAAGTGAGAGCAAGATCAATTCAGATCACAGACATCTATTGAGTGCCTACTGTGTGCCGGCTGTCTGCTAGACACTTGCCACAAATGTGAAGACAGCCCTTGCATATTGTTGGTAATCTCAACATTAGGGGATGCATGCTCCGTCTGAGACATTTGAGGAATTCTGTGGGAACACTTGGGAAACCTGAAAGTGTTTGGAAAGGGTTGATACCGAAGATTTCTTTACTTTTTTTTTGTACTATATAATTTATTACATTTTAATTTTATTTCCAACTTTAAAAAATCAGTTCTGTGAGCTGATGTATTACAAGAACAGTTGAATTCACAGTCTCACCAAGCTTCTCAGATGTAGTTCTGGCTAGTGATTGGCAAACAGTGGGAACTTGGAATGAGATGCCATGTTAGCTTTTTGTCCCTTATATATTTTTTTATTTTTTAAATAATATTTTAATGTTTTTTCTTATTACAAAGAAGAAAAAATTACAGATAACTACTTCTAATACTTTGGGGTATGTATTTTCAGTTATTTTGACCTTTTTCTGAATATGATATTTATACATCAACATGCTTAAATATGAGAATACAAATTTTTCTTTTGGTGTTTTTACAAAAATAAGAATTTATGTGGACCTTGAAGAATGGATAGGATTACGTCAAGCAAAGAGGAGCTGCCTAGAGAAGGAAATGGCCTGAGAACAGTGCAAAGGCAAACGCTATCTTACCATCATTTTGACAGGAAATCTCTGGAGAAAAGATTGGAGAACAACAGCGACTTGGTCCTAGATGGCCTTGTCTGTCAGAATAAAGCACTTGGACCCTGGGGGAGAGTAAGACGTTTTAAGGAGGGAAAAGATATGATTGCATTATTATTTAATTATTTATTATTAATATTGGATAATTGTATTGATACATGAATATTAATAAAAAAGTTGACATCAAAAAAAGAAAGATAATTGCATTTTCTTATATTAACATAATGTTGACAGTAAGTTAGGTGGTGTATTTGAGAGGGGATAAGACTGAAAGTAAAAAACAAAGCAAAACAAAACAAAAAACACTTGAGTCTGCAGTAATGCACATTTTTTTACACTTAAAGACATAGTCCAAGGCTGGAGGTGTATACACGAGGTTCTGGGTTCCATCCCCAGCACTGCAAAAAAAAAAAAAAAAAAAAAGAAAGAAAGAAAAGAAAGAAAAAGACAGTGAATTTGTCTCCCTAATTAATCTAAATAATTAACTTTTCAGCAGAGATGGCCTAATGAATTTATTCTATCAATTCCAAGGGATTTGAACAACCCTGTTTATCTTGTACTTTTATCACCTGTCAAGTGGACTCTCTAATAATAAAAATAAGATAATAGAGAGCTAATATTTAGAATTTATGGGGTGCCGGGCACTGTGCAGAATGTTTAGGTATATTTTTTCAAGTAATAATATCTTATTTTGCCCCATTAATAGAAGAGAAAACACACTGAGGGAGGTCTGGCAACTGACACAGGCTAGAAAGTGGCAGAGCTGAAATGCTCTTCCCCATGCTCTGCTGCCCCCTGATTCCCAAGCTTATTTGACTAAGATTGATCATGGACAATTATCAGAAATTTGCCTTTAAAACTTAAAAATGGTCACATTGGACAATGTTTTTATCTATCAAGAATTGGCCAAGCTGGGCGCCATGGCTCATACCTCTAATCCCAATGATGCCGTAGCCTGAGACAGGAGGATCACAAGTTTAGGCCAACCTTGCAATTTAGCAAGATGCCCAGCAACTTAGCAAGACCCTGTCTCAAAAATACAAAAGGACTGGGTATGTAGCTTAGTAGTAAATTGCCCCTGGCTTTGATCTCCAGTGCCAAAAACAAATAGAATCAACAAACCAAAAACAAAGAATTGGCCTGTTTTTCTAGCCTGTCATATAACTGTACTAGGAACTTCACAATATATTGCTACAATCCAGAAATACGTATGTGTGTGTATCAAAAATGTAAATCATAATGCATAGTATTAAAAACTGCAGTTGGATTGCATGTGTAGCTCAGTAATAGAGCAGGTGCATACTCTAGTAATGTCCCTAGACACAACAGGCCTCCAGTAACAAGGGTGAGTAACAATACATTTGCCATGGATCAGCAGTAAGGATAGCAGTGGCACTTTGTAAATGCTTTTCTATCATCTCTAATTCCTTGAGGTGTAGGGGCACTGCTATTCCATAGCCCCCCAAGAGATGTAGTGGCCAGGCTGAGACTTAGAAGCTGGGGAGTCCCAACCACAGGGCCCTGGAGCTCTCTCATTGCTGCTCCCCTGGAATGTAGTTTGGAACTGCCAAATGAGGCTGAAAAGCCAGCACACTGAATCCAGGCTCCCTGCTACTCCCCTGTCCAGCACTGGGGATTGAACCCATGGCCTTGCACATGCTAGGTAAGCACTGAGCTATATCCCCAGCCCTTTGTGTTTTTATTTATTTATTTGCTGGGGATATAGCTCAGTGGCAGAGTACTTTCTTAGCATGAGGAGGCACTGGGTTCTATCCCCAGTTCTACAAATAAATAAATAAACAAACAAATAAAGTACTTTTATTTTGAAACAAGATCTCAATAAATTACCTCGACTGTCCTAGAACTTGGATCCTCCTGCCTCAGTATCTGGGATTACAAGTGTGAGCCACAACACCTGGCTTAGATATAGGCTTTTTTAAGTGGACAAAACCAATGTGAAAGGGACTGGCTATTTGTCAATTGCCTACAAATGTGATTTCCTCCCTTCCCTTAGTCAATGTGTCTAGCCATTGTTTTATTAGGAAATAATAATTGTTCTCACGTATTGCATCTGTAAGTGAAGTTGACCAAACCAATGTGGGCAACAGTGCTTTCCATGGCGTTTGCATAGAAAGCAAACCCTTTGTATAAAGCCATGTGCCTGTGGATATAAAGCCTTTGGCCTGATACTCAAATCTGCCAAAGCCCTTCCTGCTGAAGAAGCTACCCGAGTTGTGGTTACCGTATGCCAGTACATTTGCCTCCCATCATTGGAAATTGGGGCCTGCTGCATCATTTATGTGTTTTTCTTTTCTTTTCTTTTTTTTTTTTTTTTGCACTTTTTTTTATTGGTTGTTCAAAACATTACAAAGCTCTTGACATATCATATTTCATACATTAGATTCAAGTGGGTTATGAACTCCCATTTTTACCCCAAATACAGATTGCAGAATCACATCGGTTACACATCCACATTTTCACATAATGCCATATTAGTAACTGTTGTATTCTGCTACCTTTCCTATCCTCTACTATCCCCCCATCCCCTCCCCTCCCATCTTTTCTCTCTACCCCATCTACTGTAATTCATTTTTTTTCTTTTTAGTACTCATGTAATTTAAATAACATCCCTCTTTGGTTTATCATCTTTAGTAGTGTATCTGTTTATTATTTTGTACCTATACATTGGCTACTAAAGGAGAGGACATTGTTGAGCGAAATTAGCCTGAGAATCATTTCAAAACCCCATCTCAATACAGGTGATGACCTGTCACAGAGGCCCCCAGATGTTGTTGTTGGCTGTGTAAATAAGTACAACTTTTTTGGAAAGCAATTTGTGATCTCCATCAAGAGTCATAAGCATATTCATAACCTGAGCCTATAATTCAACTTCTAGACTCTAAACTAAAGAAAAATTTAAAATATGTATCATTAGGTACATGATGATATTTATTACATATATTTTTTTAAAATTAAAATTTTTTAATGGTGTTGGAGATGGAACCCAGAGCCTCAAACATCAGGCAAGATCTCTATCATTCTATCTAAAGCCCCAGTCCTTGAAGATTTATTATTGTGAAACACTATGAATAAATAGAAAAATGATTAACATATTTTTATAATCCCCTGGGTGAACATTATCCTCCCATTAAAATACTGCCTTTAAAAATGATAACTAGAAATGTTTTAAAAAATATAATGTTGGTTGAAGAAAGTAAGACATGAAATTGTATATTTACTTTGGTGATTTGTTGCTGAGAAAATTACACACCTTTGTATACCATGTGTCAAGATGGCAGGCAATGTGTTTTTTTTTTCTAATTTTCCAAAATTTTAATAATATGATAACATTAATTTTACTGTATAAATGTTTTTTCTTTTCTTTTTATTATTTACTTACTTTTTAATTTTTGCAGTGCTGAGAATCAAACCTGGGGCTTCATGCATGCTAAACTTTACCACTGAGCTATATTGTTAGCTCTGGAAATATTTTTAATTAAAAAAAAAAAACTCTTATTAGTGCAATTATAACCATAGGACATCTTTTCCTATTGTGATTTTTTAATTGGTGTTTGTTAATTACACAGAATAGTAAGTTTCATTGTGACATGTTTGGATATGCACATAACAATCTGATCAATTTACTTCCTAATAATTTCCCTTACCCTCCCCACTTCCCTCCCCTTGATCCCCCCTCCTCTATAGAGAACCACAAGACATTATAAGGAGAGTTTTCAAAACTAAAGACACCAGGACCTGGAGTGGTGGAACAAAAACCTATAATCCCAGCAACTCAGGAGGCTGAAGCAAGAGGATCTCAAGTTTAAAGTAAACCTCAGCGACTTAGCAAGATCCTGTCTGAAAATAAATAAAAAGGACTGTGGAAGTAGCTCAGTGGCAAAGTGCCTTGGGGCTGGGGGGTGGGGAGCAGGGGGACAAAAAATAAATTAAAAAAAATCAAAATAGGACAATAATTGGTAATAGGACAAAGGTTTGAAATGGGAATTATCCCCCAAATCCAGGACACATACATATACATAGATGATATAGCAGTGATGACTATTAGCCTGAATTTGTCAAAAGTGACTTACATGACCTGGTATACTGGAGGGAAACCTCCAGACACTATGTTGGTAGCGACCAAGGCCTCTCAGTGTGCCATAACTGTGAGTTTTCTCAACAATTATCCTGCCCAGGAAACTTCCATGTTGGTAGTGCCATCATCCTATCCAAAGGCAAGTCCCACTAGTCCCAACTAACATAAATACTGGTACCCAAGAGCATCACAAGGTCTCACCCAGGATTTAGAAGCTTCTCCTTAGAGTTCCAATGATCATACCTCCCACTTTTCCCTTCTCCTGGGGCCTTTGCAGCCTGTCCCTGGAGAAGGGCCTTCCTCCAGGACCTTGCATCCGAGACATGTCCAGGAAGATGCAGGGGAGAATCAACCAGACACTTATGGTTTTTTGGCCCTTCTCTCTTCCTCTCCCATTACATATACTCCAAATTGTTTTAATAAAAAGGTATTGTTAAATATCCTGAAGGCTCATTCATTCATTTGTTCATTTATTAAATGATTAATTAAAATAGGCATAATTTATTGTGAACTAGAATTAAAGAGCACAAAAAGTATATCCCTCCTCCAACCCCAGTTTAAAAGCTAGATCAGGCTCACACATAAAAACAATCCAAGGCTCTTGGGCACTGTATTCCAGTGGGGGTTGGAGGTGTGATCTGTGTGCTGGTGACCAGAGTGAGATGGGACCACATGCTCCTCAGGGGAGGGACTGAGGAATTGCTTAGCCAGAGTGGGCCTTCTCCCTCCTGGTGAGCTGAGTTTAGCTCAGTTTAGTAAACTTATAGGGAAGTTCAAAGTGGAGGAGAGAAGACACTGAGAACAAATGTCTCATGCTAGGCAATTTTGCCCTGAATGAAGGAACAGTAGAACTATTGCTTTTCCTTCCCGGATGGATCTACCTCTGGAGTTTGGTCCCCTTTGGGTGGTTCTGCTAATAGAAAAGTGTTCAGGACCACCTGCCCAGGAGGTTTCCTAGGAATTTGTTGAGCAAATTTCTTTGATGCCTGGGATTTGATGTTTGCCAAGAGTCCGTCTGAACAAATCCCTACATGCTGAACTTGAAAACAAAATTCTCAGGGTCAGCAGGCCCTGCTAATTGCTTCTTTCTCTACCAGACTGACAGGAGAACATGCTAACTCTTCACTCACAAACACAGGCCCTATGGTGGGGGGCAGAAGGGGCTGGGTAGCCTTCGTGCTCTTGCTTTGAGAGGATTTCTGGAGAGTACCAAGGAAGAATCTTCTCCAGCCTAGGAGGAGAAAGGCAAGGGGTTGACCTCTCAGGTGCTTCTTTGTTAATTCCATTTCTCTCCTTCTTGGTGCCCCCGCTCCTCTTTTTTCCTCCCCCTCTCACTCCCCATCCTGGGCAAATGGATTAGAGAGGAGGAAGGAATAGGTTAGGCCTGAGAAATCCATTCTTATTTCTTTTTTCTCTCTATAGAGAACTCCAAACTTTCTCCATGCATAAGAAATTACATGCACCTGTGGGCTGCTGGGGTCACTGTTTCAAAACTCAGCCCAGCCCAGAGTGGATCAGCTAGGTGAAGTGACTATCCCTGGAGTAGAGTCCCCAGAAACCCATATTGCATTTTTTCTTTTTTTGATACTGGGGATTGAACCTAGCTAGGGACACTTAACTACTGAGCCACATCCCCAGCCCTTTTAAATCTTTTATCTAAAGACAGGGTCACTGAGTTGCTTAGTACCTTGCTGAGTTGCTGAGGCTGGCTTTGAACTCACGATCCTCTTGCCTAGGACTCCCAAGCCACTGGGATTACAGGCATGCACCACCGTGCCCGGCACCTGCGCTGTCTTAAGGCAGAGCTAGAGTTCACATAGTGCTGCTGTCCTATTTCTCGCCTAAATGTGCAAAAGCTGGAGGAGTTGAGTATCAAGAAATTAGGTGGAAAAAAAGGCTTAGCCCTTCCAGAAGTGAATATTCAGAACTTGGCAGATCTAACTCACTCCTGAATTTTTTTTAATTAAAAATTTTATCTGGGTTCAGTGGTGCATGCCAGCTACTTGTCAGGAGACTGAGGCAGGAGGATCTTGAGGCCAGCCTGGGCAATTTGGAGAGACTTTGTCTCAAAAATAAAAAAAAGGCTGGGGATGTAACTCAGTGGTAGAGCACTTGCCTAACATTGTGTGAATCCCTGGGTTCAGTCCCCAGCACCAAAAAAAAAAAAAAAAAAAAAAAAGAAAGAAAGAAAGAAAAAGAAAAAAAATCATAAAATATTCCCGCCTAACAAAACATTGGAAAATGATTAATTAGATTAAGAAAAGAAAAAAATCCATCCAGAATTGCTTTCTCCTGTTACTGCTTCTCTTAGCATTCCAAAAAGGTTTTAGAAAGCACTGGAACCTAAGTGAAGCAAAAACTACTCTTTGAAAATGAAATTAGGAAAAATCATTGGGGTCAGCCTTTCAGAGAAATGGCCCAAACCTTAACTGCCATTCCTGAGATGATGAGAGGGGTGTGACCCTCCCTGAGATGTTGCTTGTGAACCAAATGCAAACCAGGGACTCTACAGAGGGTGATGAAGAACACAGATGTGATTGTGATTGGAGCCCCAAAGAAATGGACTGATTTTTCTTTTCCCCAAGCAGAACATGGGGAGATATGAATATCCCTGTGGATTACAGAATCCTGTGGGTTTTTCTTGAGGTTAATTTAACACTTCTTGGATCCTGCCAAGAGAATGTTCCCTGTGAAGAAGAGGGCAGCTGAGATTCAAGAATCAGAATACAGTTTGGAAATGAGAAGAGTTAGGAATCCAACAGCTAGGACAGACAACTGGGGAAATCTGAATATGGAAGATGTAAGAGTCATGGGATACGGTTTGACTGTGTTCCCTTCAGAGTCCAGGTTTTCCCAACATGACAATGAGCCCTTTAAGAGATGATTCGGTCATATGGGCTCCTTCCTTGTTAATGGGATTAAAGGCTTTATTAAAGAGACTTCACAGAGTATATGTTCTGCCACTCTACCATTTATTGAGGACCCAGCATTTGCTGCATCTGTACCCCCAGAACTGCGGGAAATAAAGCTCAGGGTTTTGTTCATTTGTTGTATACGTGCAGTGCTGGGGATGGAACCCAGGGCCTCGTGCATGCTAGGCAAGTACTCTACAACTGAAACTACACTCCCAGCACAAGGTTCTGTTCTTTATGAATTATTCAGTCTGGAATACTCAGTTATTGTTGTACAAAACAGTCTAAGACAACATAGAGTTGTTGTTAATTTCATTAGGAATGATAACGGTATTGGAGTTATGTAATGGATTTTTCTTATTCTCTAGGAGGGGGAGGAGAGGATGTGGGGGAAGAGAGGAGAAAGCAAATATGGCAAAGGTGGCCTGCTGAATCGAGATGTATACAGCTGCCATCTCACTATTCTAACTTTTCTCTGTGTTAGAATTTTCATTAAACTGTTAGGAGTGGAGAAGAAAAGATGCGGGGGGGGACATCCAGGGAAGTAAGAGGAGTCAGCCAGGAAAGAACTCAGAAAAAAAATGAAATAATTTTGAAAGAAAGTTGGAAAAAAAGGCTCTGAAAGTGGGAAAAATGGGAGACACTAGAGCAAGCATCTGGAGAAAGTGGAGGGGAGCACAGGCTTCCATCTGTAGCCTTCATTCAGTTCCCTCGGGGCAGAGGAAGTTCTGATGAAGCAAAAAACCAAAAACCTCAATGAAATCACTGAGTTTCTGTTTTTACTTTTACATGAAACATGAGAGGAAACCCAAACTTATTTTATGGGAATACTAATTTTGTAATGCATTTGCCAAGATACACACCCTGCCCATGGCTGAGGGCCCAGGGTAGGGCATCTGGCCTCATCAGCTCAGAATAGGATATCTGGCTCTGATACCTGCCAGTCCATCAGGTATACTATGCATTGACTGCTGTTGCTTGAACATTGTAATACTCAGGGCTGTGATCATTTTGCAGATAAGAGGGACAGAAAGCTGCCCCTGATGAGAACGTGAAGCAGGGCCAGGGTGTGGCTCAGTAGTAGAGCACCTGCTTAGTGTGCAGGAGGCTTTGAGTCAATCCCCAGCTCTGCAAAAATAAGAGGAAAACAACAACAACATAAAAAAAGCAGAAGACTGGTCAAGAGAGATGAGTGGGGAGAGGTGCAGCTGAAGGACCCTAAAGCTCATAAAGCAGAGAGGAACCTCCCTTCTGGTCCCACCCTGTCCCCTGAGACTCCATCTGTTGAGCCCCATTTCCTGCTCTTTGAATTCATAACTCAAGATTGCCTGCTGTGTCCTGTAACACCCACTGACCACCCTAACCTCTTTGACCTGAGTTGGTTCCCATGGACACCTGTTCCCTGTAACCCAAATGGCCTTGGGTAGAGTAACATCTTGTCCTTACCTGTGGGGCAGCCCAGCCACCAGGTCCCTGGGCTGCCCAGCACCTAGACAGTACCAGCAGGATGTCTGGACCCATCTATACCTGTCCACATTCTCTGCATAGACTGAAACTCTGTTTTCTTCTTGACTCTCATTCTAGCCTCAGGGCAACTCCTGACACCAGGGAGTGAACACCCCAAAACACCTCCAACTTCGACTGGGCCCTGGGATCTCTCTCTCCTTTCTATCAGCAATATGTTACCGTCCTTGCTGACATCCTTTTTGTTTCCTGCCCAGCTCTTCCACTTGCTCAAGTTACCTCCTACATCCTGCCTCTCTCCTCTGCAGTAATAACAGCCTACGTCCACTGACTGCTTATTGTGGGCCAGCCATGGTCATAGGCGCTTTCCATGAGTGTACTCCTTTAATCCTCCGGACACCTATGAAGCAGATCCTATTATTATCAGCCCCACTTTACAGATGAGAAAGCTGAGGCATGGAGACAAAGTTTCTCATCCAATGTCACAAAGTAGCCATAATGAGATTCCAACCAGGCAGTCTGGCTCCAGAGTCAACATCCTTAACCTCTTATTAGTTTTGATATTAAAAGCCAGCAGTACTTAGCACCCTCAATAAGAGAGCAGAGAAAACTCTTTAGAAAAGAACAAGACAAACTATTCTTTTTGAAAGCATGGTTGTAAAAGGAGTGATTGTTCTCTAGTTCTAGTGCTTAGCACAAATCATTGCCTCCTAGGTCACCAAGCAGAGGGAATCAAGTGTGAATTCTTCCGGCTCCTCCCACCTGCAGACTTCTCCATCTGGCCAGCCCTTCCTTCCTCCAGTCTCAGAGAGGTGGGTGTTCTTTTCACATTAGCTCTTGGCCAGAGTCACCCCTGACTATTTCTGGAGATTGTCTCATGTCTTAGTTTGTTTTCTGTTGTTATAACAATTTTGTTATAACAAAATACTTGAGACTGAGTACTTTACAAAGAAAAGAGGTTACTTAGCTTATAGTTTTAGAGGTCTAAGAGCATGATGCTGGCTTCTTCTTGGCTCTGGTGGAAGACATGGTGGATGATATCACAATGGCAGGAGTCCCTACAAGAGGGAGAAATAATAAGACAGGACTCCAGAGAGATATTTGAGAGGCATACTTTTTTTTTTCCATACTAGGGATAGAACTGGGGTACTCTGCCAGTTCTTTTTGAGGCAGGGTGTCACTAAGTTGCCAGGCTGGCCTTGAACCTGTGATCTTCCTGGCTTAGTCTTCTGAGTTGCTGGGATTATAGGCATGAACAGCAGTGCTGGCTTTCATTCTTTCTTCTTTTTAATTTAATTTATTTCATTCACTCATTTTGCAGTGGTAAGGATTGAACCCAGGGCCTGGTACATGTTAGGTAAGTGCTCTACCACTAAGCTACACCCCCGCCCAAATTTCTGAGATATATACATATATTATATATTAATATTAATATATATTAAAATAAATGTTTGATCTTTCTTTTTGAGGCAATTTCACAATGTTGCCCAGGCAGGCTATGAACTCCTGGGCTCATGTGATCCTCCTGCCTCAGCCTTCTGAATAGCTGGGACTATGGGGACACACCACAGCTTGGCTAGACTTATTCTCTCATAACAACTCACTCTCTTAAGGACTACTTAGAGTCCCTAATCCCTTCTGAGGTCAGCACCTCCAATAACCTAATTACTTGCTCTAAGCCCCACCCCTTAAAGGTTCCACCACCTCTCAATACTGCCACGCTGAGGGAGAGAATGCCCTCACGCTATCTTCCTCTTTTCTCTCCTCCCTACCAGCTTACTTGCAAGGACAAGCTCCTCTGCAGAACAGTTTCTAATAATTGTCTTCACTTTCTTACTACCTGTTAACTCCTTTAAGAATCCAATTGCATTTTAGATTATAGACAAAACATTAAGTTATACAAAATTTGAACACCACTGTAATATATAATATAATATGTAAAATTAAAAACATAACAACTGTCAAGGGTTTGGTGCACAGGGCTGGGAGCCTGGCTCAGTGATAGAGCACTTGCCTAACATTTACAAAGTACTGGGTTCAATCTCAGGTACTGCCAAAAAAAAAAAAAAAAGATTTTGGTACACACAGTTTGTCTAACTTTTTAAAAAATATGTGTATAAGCAGCAGATATGTTGGTGTATAATTGTAATTCCAAAGACTTTGGAGGCTGAGGCAGGAGGATCATAGGGTTGAGGCCAGGCTCAACCACGTCACAAGCCCTAAGCAACTTAGTGAGACCCTGTCTCAACATAAAAAAATGAAAAGAGCTGGGGATGTAGCTCAGTATAAAGCACCCCTGAGTTCAATCCCTGGTAGTCACCCCTGAAAATATACTACACACTATATACTGTGTATAGAAAGGGTATAAATTACTGACAACACCAAATGCTCGTGAGGATCTAGAGAAATTTGATTATACATTGCTGGTAGGAATGTAAAATGATATGGCCAGTCTGGAAAAGAGGATGGCTATTTCTTACAACATTGAATATGAAAAATTACCATATAATATAGTGAGTACACTCTTGGACATCTAAAACCCAGAGGAATAGTAACATTTGCTTGCACATCCAAAAAAATTCATGACTATTCATAGTAACTCTATTCATAATTGCCACAAACTGGAAACAACCCAAATGTCCTTCAGTGGTGAAAGGCTAACTAAATAATGGTATGTGTATACCATGGAATACTACTCATCAATAAAAAGGAAGAAATATGGATGGATACACACAACAATCTGGATGGATCTCCAGAGAATTACACTGAAAAAAAAAAAAAGGCCAATCACAAAATGGTATATACTGTGTAATTCCATTTAGATTATTCTTTTTTTTTTTTACACAATACTTTTATTTATTTATTTATTTATTTATTTAATGCAGTGTTGAGGATCAAACCTAGTGCCTTACACATGCTAGGCAAGCTTTCTACCATTGAGCCCCAACCCCAGCCTTAAATTACTCTTGAAATTATACATTTATAGAAAAGGAAAAAAAGAGATTGGGGTCAGATTGAAGGGAGTGAAGGGGTGACCATGGTCATAAAAATGTAGCACAAGGGATGTGTGTGATGGAACTATTTTGCACCTTGACATGGTGGTGGTCATATGAATCTACATGTGCGATTGAATTATATAGGACCAGCCAGGCATGGTGGGCTTGCCTGTAATTCCCAGCTACTCAGAAGGCTGAGGCAGGAGGATTGTAACTTTGAGGTAGTCTGGGTAATTTACCAAGGCCTTGTCTCAAAATTTAAAAATTTAATAAAGACTGGGAATGTAGCTCGGTGTCACAGCGTTTTGCTATCATGGATGAGGCCCTGAATTCAGTCCCTGGTACAAAAAAAAAAAGTCATGTAGAACTAAATAAACATATAAATGAGTGTATATAAATTGATGATATCTAAATAAGGCTGATGGATTGTATCAATGTCAATTTCCTGATGGTGATATTGTATTTTAGCTACATAGAATATTACCACTGAAGGAAAAGGGGTGAGAGGTACACAGGATTTCTCTATATTCTTTCTTTTTTCAATAAGTTCTATTGAGCTGTATAATTCATATATCACAAGATTTACTCTATTAGCATGTACAACTCAGTAGCTTTAAATGTATTTGCTGTGCTGAGAAACCTCACCCACTAATTGTAGAATATTTTTATGATCTCAGGAAGAAACCCTGCACCTATCAGTACTCACTCCCGTCCCACTTTCCATCCAGCCCTTGGTAACCATTGATCTACTCTCATCTCTGTAGATTTGTCTATTCTAGATGTTTCATATAAACACAGTCACACAATATGTGTCCTTTTGTGTCTGTCTGGTTTCTTTCATTCAACATAAAGGTTTTCAAGGTTGTAGTTTTCTATGTTGTAGTATTATCAATACTTCATTTCTACTTATGACTAAATGATATCTCATTACATGGAAATCCTTGCATATTTTGTTTATCCATTCATCAGTTGATGGACATTTGGGTTGTCTCTATGTCTTGGTTATTATGCACAATGGTGCTATGAACATTTATGTACACATTTTTCTGTGGCCATGTTTTAAATTCTCTTAGGTATATACCTGGAGTAAAATTGCCAGGTGATATGTTTAACTTTTTGAATTGCTAAGCTATTTTTCTTTCTTTCTTTTCTTTCTTTTGGTACTGGGGATTGAAGCCAGGGGTGCTTAACTGCTGATCCACATCCCTAGCCCTTTCTATTTTTTAATTTAGAGACAGGGTCTGGCTAAATTGCTTAGGGCCTTTCTAAATTGCTGAGGCTAGCTTTGAACTCAGGATTCTCCTGCCTCAGCCTCTGGAGCCACTGGGATTACATGTGTGCACCACCTGCCGAGCTATTTTGCAAAGAGGCTGCACAATCTAGCACTTCCATCAGCAGTGGATGAGGATCTTGATGTCTCCATGTTCTCACCAACATTTGTTTTTATCTGTTTTCTCTATCATAGCCATCTAATTCTAGTGGGTGTGAAATTGCATCTCACTGTGATTCCGTATTAATAATTTCTTTAATTGCATGTAAATCATCTCAAAATAAAAAGTTAAAAATACCTATGCTAATGTGAACCATATTTGTATTATTTTACAACGTTTTTTAAACTTAGAATAGTTGGACATCTTTGCATGTTAGTATGTGCTATAGTTTGGATATTAAATGTCTCACAAAGAGCTCACTGTAGTGCTCTTGGGAGGTGATAGAAGCTTTAAGATATCGGGCCTAGTTATAAGCATTCTGGTCATATGGGGACATGCCTTTCCTTGAGGGGATACTGGCGATTGAAACCACATCCCCACTACTGAGCCACATTCCCACTACTTTTTGTTTGTTTGCTTAACATATATATTTTATCTAGAGACAAGGTCTCATTGAGTTTCTTAGGGTCTTACTAAGTTGCTGAAGCTGGCTTTGAACTTGTGGACCTTTTATCTTTCTCTCTTTTGCTTCCTGGCCACAAAGTGAGTGGCTTTGCTTTGCCACATGCTTCCACCATGATATGCTGCCATGATTGAAAAGCGATGGGCAAATGCCAAATGTCTTCTTTGATATAAGGAGAGTAACTAAGAACAGAGTAGGGACGAAGAGCATGAGAAGAAGATTAACATTAAACAGGGATGAGAGGTGGGAAGGAAAGGGAGAGAGAAGGGAAATTGCATGGAAATGGAAGGAGACCCTCAGGGTTATACAAAATTACATACAAGAGGAAGTGAGGGGAAAGGGAAAAATAATACAAGGGGGAGAAATGAATTACAGTAGAGGGGGTAGAGAGAGAAGAGGGGAGGGGAGGGGAGGGGAGGGGGGATAGTAGAGGATAGGAAAGGCAGCAGAATACAACAGACAGTAGTATGGCAATATGTAAATCAATGGATGTGTAACTGATGTGATTCTGCAATCTGTATACGGGGTAAAAATGGGAGTTCATAACCCACTTGAATCAAAGTGTGAAATATGATATATCAAGAACTATGTAATGTTTTGAACAACCAACAATAAAAATTAAAAAAAGCAATGGGTCTGTCCAGTTATGGTCTGGAAGCTCCAAAACTGTGAGTTAAAATTAAACTTTTTTCTTTCTTTCTCTCTTTCTTTCTGTACAGGGAATTGAGCCCAGGGGTGCTTAACCACTGATCCACATCCCCAGCCCTTTTTTGTATTTTACTTAGAGCCAAGGTCTCACTGAGTTGCTTAGGGCCTCCCTAAGTTGCTGAGGCTGGCTTTTAATTCACGATCCTCCTGCCCCAGCCTCCTGAGTTGCTGGGATTATAGACTAGTGTCACTGTACCTGGCTTGAATCTTTTTCTTTGTGAAGAATTTTCTTTCTCCAACCTTCATTCCTGTCCCCTGTGCCTGCTCTGGCTGTCCTTTTTCTACTGTAGCTCCCCGGTTCTAGGTATATTTGGACATCCAGTAGAGCATGCAGAGATCACAGTGTGTTACCAGTGCATGTACCAGGTTCCCCCATTAGATCCAGGTGCCCCTTGGTCAGCATCCTCCACAATGCCCAGCATATAGCAGCCATGTCGGAATGTTTGTTAAATGAAAGCATGAGCATATAGAAAGCACCCAGTGAAGCAATGTGTGTGTGGTTGGTACACACTTCTCACGCCTACAAATCAGGAGGCTGAGGCAGGAGGATTGCAAGTTGAAGGTCAGGCTCAGCAATTTAGGGAGATCCTGTCTCAAAATAAAAAAAATAAAAAGATCAAGGATATACCTGAGTGGTAGAATGACCCTGGGTTAAATTCCAAGTACCATAATTAAAAAGAGAAAAGAAAAGAAAGAAAGAATGCACCTAGTGACTCCCCATCGAGAGCTGCAGTGCAGTAGGAAAGTGAGGAGCTTCACGTGAAAGTGAAGGGGAGAGGTGGCCTCACGGCGGCGATTTTGTGGTCTAATGGAAACTGCTGTATGAGCTACAGAAAGAGGAAAAGCTGGAAAGGAAGAAGGAAGAAAGATCCCTTGAGATATTGGCTGGAGGACTCAGAGCGCCTCTCACAGCTGCCCAGGGGTGAAGAGGGAAAGGAAATAAAAAGTTCAAGGAGATGGGCTGGGGATGTGGCTCAAGCGGTAATGCTCTCACCTGGCATGCGCAGGGCGCTGAGTTTGATCCTCAGCACCACATAAAAATAAAAATAAAAAAAAATAAAGATGTTGTGTCCACCGAAAACTACAAAAAAAAAAAAAAAAAAAAAGTTCAAGGAGAACTCATTCTGTCTCTCTGTGCCTCCTTTGCTAAATTCAGCACCTAAATGCTAAATTCCGAAGCCTTTTATTTACTAAAAATATGTTCAGGACCAACTTCCTCAAACACTTGGCACTTCTTTCCTCCTGGAGTAGAATGAAAATCCCTCTGAGCAAAGATTAGATAATGGCTTTACTGTGTCCATGGGAACTTCCCTCTCTGGGAATAATGCCTCTTCCCAATTATATGAATATTTTCAGTGCTTGCCTCTTTGGAAAAGTTCAAGTGCAATCCATGTAAGTATAGTCTTTCTAATTATAAACTTATATTTGGGTAAAAGTTCTTCTGTAGCAGAGTGAAAATTATAGAGCTCAAACATAGAGAGTTGCCCAGAAGAAAGTTTGAATTTACCAGAAAAAGTGGGGTGAATATCATTAGTTTCTTTTATTTTTATCTATCTATCTATCTATCTATCTATCTATCTATCTATCTATCGTACTAGCGATTGAACCCAGGGGTGCTTACCCACTGAGCCACATCCCCACTACTTTTTGTTTGTTTGCTTAACATATATATTTTATCTAGAGACAGGGTCTCACTGAGTTGCTTAGGGTCTCACTAAGTTGCTGAAGCTGGCTTTGAACTTGTGATCTTCCTGCCTCAGCCTCCAGAGCTGCTGGGATTACAGTTGTGTGCCCCCATACCTGGCTTGCTTTTATCTATTTCATATATAATTTATAATGACCTTCTCATTTTCCTTTTTTTTTTTTTTTTTTTTGGTACCAAGGATTAAACCCAGAAGCACTCAACCACTGAGCCACATCCCCAGCCCATTTTTATATTTTACTTAGAGACAGAGTCTCTCTGAGCCTTGCTAAATTGCTGAGGCTGGCTTTGAACTCATGATCCTCCTGCCTGAGCCTCCCAAGCCGCTGGAGTTACAGGACTGTCTCATTTTTTGTAATAAAAAAGAACAGTACATTTGTTCAAACCATAAGAATTGCTGATCAGTACATTAAAGGTTATAAAAAGAAAAGGTGGGGAGCTGAGGCCACCTTACTCAGATTGGAGGCTTACAAGACAAGGGAATGAGTGTGTTTGTCTTCCATGCTGCACAACAAATTGCCATAAACTCAGTGGCTTAAAACAACACCCACATCCTGTGGGTGAGGAGATTGGTCATGAGCAGACTCACTCCTTGCAAAGGTGTCTTCATGGTGTGGGTCAGGGCTCAGTTCCATATGGGGAGACCTGACTAGTGGTAGATGAGCTTCCAGATGCAGATTGTTGGCAGAATTGAGTTCCTTGATGCTGTAAGACCAGGAATCCAGTTTTTCAATGACTGTGGGTTAGGCACTGATTTTAGCTCTAAGAGGTTGCTCACAGTTCCTTGCCAACCGGGCTTCTCCATAAATACTGGGGCAAAATGGCAGCTTGATTCCTTGACGCCAGTAAAGGAGAAAGAGATTTAGCAAGACAGAATCTTATATAATGTTACTTAATTATAGACTGACATCCCATCATCTCGGCCATAGTTTTGATTGTTGCTGGGTATTGAATCCAGGACCTTGCCCATGCAAATATTCTGCCACTGGGCCGCATCTCCAGTCAATCTCTGCCATGTTCTGTTGGTGAGAAGCAGCCACAGGTCCCACCCTCACTCATACAAACGTATGAGTACCAAGGAGTGAAGATTATGGGGACCGATTTCTTTTTTCTTTCTTTTATTTTTTTGGTATCAGGGATTGAACTCAGGGGCATTCAACCACTGAGCCACGTCCCTAGACCTATTTTGTATTTTACTTAGAGATACAAACTATCATTGAGTTACTTAGTGCCTCATTGTTGCTGAGGCTGGTTTTAAACATGGGATCCTCCTGCCTCTGCCTCCCAAGCTGCTGGGATTACAGGCGTGCCCCCATGCCTGTTGGGGATCATTTTAGATTCTGGTCTCTTTTACAAAGAGTTCAGAAATTCTTGTGAGATCTATATCCCCTTGTACATTCCAGTACATTCCAATATCTATTCTAATACTTGCACCAAAAATCCTCCATTTTACATATAGATGTGCTGAGAAGTTAATGTCCCTGGAGTAGGCTTCAACCAATGATGATGAGAACCAGAGGCTTCTCCTTGCCCCTTGGGTAGGAAAACTCAAGACATGTTTTTGAGTGTCCTCCAGAGTCTCCAGCAGGACTGAGCCCCAGTTGCAGTTACGTAGCAGAAATTTACTCAATAATGTTCCTTTTTTTGGCTTCCTTCCCTTCCTTGTTCTACTTCCTCATTTCTGGTCTTCCTGGGATCATCTCTTTTAAAAACCAGTTGAAGCCAGGAGTGTTGGTTACACAGGAAACTGAGGCAGGAGGATAGAAAGTTCTAGGCCAGACTCTGGCAGCTTAGTGTCTTAAAATAAAAAGGGCTGGGGATGTAGCTTAGTGATAAAGCACCCTGGGTTCACTTTCTGGCACCCCTCCCCCCAAAAAACAAAAACAATTTCATTGTAGATTGGGGGTGTGACTCAGTGGTAGGGCACTTGCCTAGAATGTGGGAGGCCCTGGGTTTAATCCCTAGGACCACATAAATAAATGCTATAATTTTTTCTTGCATTTTTCCCCATTTATGTTTTTTTCTTTTTGCTTTTAACTAATATGTGCTTTTTTAAAAAAATCAGTGGTTATATTCCTATTTTAAAAAAATTATATAAAATTATATTGTACCCATGTTATAATACAACCTCATTTGTCACTATTTGCTTGATGTTTCTCTCTCACACTTGATTGTAAGTGCCACTAGAGCACAATTCAGGTGTTTTCTCATATTGAATTGACAATGCCCACCATGATGCTTGACAGTATTAGGTGCTCAGTATACATGTGTTGATTGAGTGAATAAAAACTATCTTTCTTGTGTAAAGGTAGGAGTTCTCTTCCTAGAGTCCCCTAAAACAGATATCATTAGTTTGTTCTTAAGCCACTCGATTCATTCAAGCCAAGGATATATTGGTTCTTAGAAGATAGATTCAGGAAGGAACCAAAAGGAGTTTTGTTTTGTATCAGTGTGAAGAAAATAACAACAAAAGCAATCAACTGATCCTTCTTCCTCTCCCACTGTTCCTCCAAGTGCTGGAGGAGAACGGGAGCCCAGAGTATGAGCCAGAGAATATCAAAGCCAAAGCACATAATGGATCAGAAACATCTAACTCATCCCTTAGATTTAAAAAAGAGAAATGCAGCTGGATGTGGTAGTACACACCTGCAGTCCCAGTGACTCTGGAGGCTAGTTTCAGCCCTGTCTCAAAATAAAAAAGGACTGAGGTAGTAGCTCAGTAATAAAGGACCCTGGATTCAGTCCCTGGCATTGACAGGGAAAAAAAAGAAAGAGAGAGAGAGAGAGAGAGAAGAAAAAAAGAAAAGAAGTAAACAGTGGATGAACAGGTGGTGGCCTCGGTTTCCCAAGCCTACCTACCTGGAGACATATGCTGTGCTGTGCTCAATTCCACTTTGGGGTTATTTGAGCCATGCACAGGTTTGTTGTGGGAGTTAAGTGAAGTTTTGGGTTAAGAGGCTCAAAGTGCCTCTGAGTCATTACTGCCAGAAGAATATAAAGTGTAAATGGCCAAGGGCCTCTCTAGGACACTCCTTCATCTCTTCTCCTTCAGTTATTAGAGGATATGGCTACATGAACTTCAGATTGGTTGCTTCCAGATACAGGATGAGCCAAAAATGGGAAGTAATCTCCTTTCCAAGTGATAATGCCAACCAATCTGTTCTCTCTAGATTGAGAATTAAACCTTGCTATGACAAAAGGTCCAAAGAACATTGTCAACTCAGCATTTTTGGCCAGGAATGAAGTTATTAATTCCTCAGAAGTGTAGGATCTTACAGCCTTGTAGCCTCATGTCATTAACATACCTCTCTAACTAGACCCAGTTGGGTCCAATGAGCTTCATTTCAGTGAAACTCAGAACTGATAATACTGAGGAGAGATATGGATGGACAACAGCACCAGGGATATGATGGGATCCTCTTTATCTGAATTTGGTGACTGTAAAAGTTCTTACTCTGGGTTGTACCTGGAAAAGATGAATATGAGGTGCAGAACAGCAGAACAGTTGACCAGGTGACCATGCCAGTCAACGTAGCCCCCTGGCTTCCAAGGTCATCTAGTGACTGGTGAGCCAGGCCAAGGCAGGAACCGGCTTTGTTTTGATCCTATTAAGTAAGCCTCAGTGATGCTTGGTATTTGGGAGTGGCCTCTTTTACTCATTCATTGTTTCACCTTGAGGGCAGAAAGGTTCAAGTTGTAATCCCACACAGTGTTACTCACTTTTGGAAAGAGCAGTTTTCATTTTCAGAGGACTCTGGATACTCTGGCATCTGGGTAAATATGGAGCCCCAAAGCTTCTAACAGAGCTGGCCGTCCTGTCTTGAGTTCCTGCTGTCAGATGTATGGGGGGTGGGGTCGGTTTCCCCATATTAACTAGACTGAAAATAAAACGAAGCTTCTCAATGGGGAGAACAGCTGGGTTCTGTGATTCCACCTCTTGCTCCACCTTCTCCCACGTGTAACTTTAGGCTGGATAAACACTACTGAGGGGAAATAGGCATTATTCCGGGAATGTGAACGTGCAGGTCCCACACCCACAGTGTGTTTCATGGACTCACCCAAGAGGTGTGTTGCATGAGTGGCATTTTGTTTCGAACAATATGAAGCTAACGATAATCCAGGGGAAGATGCCCAAATGACACTTCCCTGGATTCTCCATTTAGGAAAACACAAATAAATTTTGGTGAATGGATTCAAGCTGATCATTTCTCTACTTAGCCTATCCTTTTGTCCCTTCAAGCTGGTTTCACAAGGTTTTAAATTAAGTCAACCAATGTGGGCGGAGCATTATCTCCTGGGAACTACTCCCAGGTACCTGAAATACCATTCAAGAATGAGCAAGACACTTTCCCAAGGCCAAGGGCTTCTTTGGGGCTGCAATTATACTTCACTAGGTACTGTGATCACACATGGATTTGTGGTTTAACTTGTAAACCCTGACAGGTTGTTGGTCAGGCATTAAAAATATGTGAAATCATAAAACATATGATATTTATCCTTCCCCCGTTTGTTGTAACATTATTGCCCTGGAGCTAAGGTGGCACGTATCAGAAATGTTTTACTTAGAAACTCATGTCTTGTATTGTGTGCGCATTCTCAGATTGGGATTTGGTAGAAATGCTAAACACACAGATGCCAATTAGGAAACTAAAATCCAGTCATTACTCAGAGATTAAATATTTCAACACACTGTCTCAAGCTATAATTAAAGGCAGTGAGCTTCGTTACTGGGAGAACAAAAACACAGAGAGGCAGACGACTATTTTTGGAATTGTTCTTATCTTCAGTATAATCTATTTTGCATTTTTTCTCGTTGTTTACAGTATTTTCCAGCCTTACACATTAATCTAAATAAAATATAAAATGATGTGTTTGTGAAATGACGTAGGGAAGCAGGCAGAAGAGGTGATAAGTACAAGAGAGAGGGAGAGACCTCTTCTCAAAAAAAAAATAAATAAATAATTAAAATCCATAGTATAGGCATCACATTTTGTAGGGGGTGGGGCAGGCAGTACCAGGGACTGCACTCAGGGGCACTCAACCACTGAGCCACATCCCCAGACCTATTTTGTATTTTATTTAGAGACAGGGAGTTGCTTAGGACGTCGCTAGGTTGCTGAGGCTGGCTTTGAATTTGTGATCCTCCTTTGATGGGATTATGGGTATATGCCACTGTGCCTGCCCTTGGCATTACATTTTAAGTGGAACCATAGTTTAATTTTACCCTTAATTTTCTTTTTGTATTTTTCATATCTTCCGATTCAAATTACAGTTTTAAAAGTTTAAAGTACACAGACAGCATGTACATGTCTTAAGCATATACTAATGCAATTCACTATTTTTTTGAGTTAACTCTTTTTTAAAAAAACCTTTATTTCTATTTATTTTTATAAGGTGCTGAGGATAGAACCCAGTGCCTCACACATGCTAGGCAAGCACTCTACCATTGAGCCACAACCCCAGGTGGCAATTCACTACTAATATCAAATTTTCACTTATTTTATAATGACTATGTACATATATGACTTTATATATACATACATATTTATACATATATACATAATAGGCATTTATAAAAATAAATATTAAAAATATAAAAATAAAAATTATAAAATAATTGAAACTTTGACATTTATATATAAATATATATCAAAATCTGCAGATGCTTGAGTCTCTTACATAGAATGGTGTAGTATTTGCAAGTAGCCTACCACCTGCAAACATCTTCTTACATACTTTAAATCACCTCTAAATTACTTAAAATACCTAATACAACATTCATGCTATGTAAATTGTTGTTATGCTACATTGTTAAGGAATGATGGCAAGAAAAAAAAAATATCTGTACATGACCACTACAGCTGTGGAGGCAGAATCCATGGATATGGAGAAAAAATATTTGTTGAGGAAATAGTTAATACTACTTCCTTTGCCAGACACAGTGGCATACAACTATAATGCCAGCTACTTGGGAGGCTGAGGAAGGAAGATGCAAGTTCAAGGCCAGGCTAATCAACTTTGTAAGGTGTCTCAAAATAAAATAAAAAACATCTGGGGATGTAGCTCAGTAGTAGAGCACTTGCTTAGCATGTGTGAGCCCCTATGTTTAATCCCAAGTACAACTATATAAATAAATACATAAATAAAGTTCTATTTCCCAGTACTAAAACATTTGGTCAACTATCCTCTTAAGATTTCATTTGTCTGTTTTTATATTGCTGGTTTGGCTTCATCTAAACACGTTCTTTTTTCTTTTTTCTTTTTTTGGTATTTGGAATTAAACCTAGGGCCTCAACCACTGAGCCACAGCCCCAGCCCTTTTTTATATTTTATTGAGCGACAGGTCCTTACTAAATTGGCTTTGAACCTGTGATAATCCTGCCTCTGCCTCCTGAGCTGTTGGGATTACAGACTTGCACCACTGCGCCCAGTGTAAGCACATTCTTAATGGCTTTTGTTTTGGTACTGGTACATGGGTGCTTTACTACAAAGCTATAGCCCAGTCCTTTTTTATTTTGAAATAGGACCTCGGTAAGTTGCCCACGCTGGCCTCAAACTTTCTGAGGCTGGCCTCAAACTTGTGATCTTCTGGCCTTAGCCTCCGAATCACTGGGATTCTAGGTGTGTGCTACCACACCTGTCCGTTTAATGGCTTTTTTAAAAAAATGAAACATGTTAGGTAAAGTACTTAAAAGCACTCTATGTGTGTGTGACTCTGGAAATTAACAGGACTAATATTTTGAAAGAGCTGAATATATATATATATATATATATATATATATATATATATATATATATTGTTGATGGACCTTTATTTTCTTTGTATGTGGTGCTGAGAATCAAACCCAGTGACTCGCACATGCTAGGCAAGCGCTCTACCACTGAGCCACAACCCCAGCTCTCACTATGTTTTAATTTTATTTGTTTATTTTTGGTGGTGCTGGGGACCAAACCCAGGGCCTCCCTCATGTTAGACAAGGGTTCTACCAGTGAGCTTACCCCCTACCCCAATCTTGCTATATTTTTAATGCCTAAACTGGCATGATAACAGCACAGGTGTTCCAGAGACAGTGTCAGGAAACACCATACACTTCAATAACCCCTTATGCTGATTATAGAGAATGGGGCAGGTGAGTTGAGGTTTGGCAGGAAGCTGTACTTAACACAACTAAGACTCATCCCGGTTAATTATGCTTTCTGACAACAAGCATGATGGGAACTCATATCGCAGATAATATTAACTAATCCATAGATAATAACACAGATGCTTGCCCAAATACTTTCAAACTTATCTGTATCTGGGAGGAATATTCTTTTACTTGAGATACTTTACAAACAAACAAACAAACAAACAAAAAAAGAAGTTTTTTCCATCTCAGTATTCTTCTAAATTTCATTGTTTTAGGTGACTGAAATAGAATATAGCCAGCTGTATATCCTTAATTAAGGATTAAGTGGGCTGAACTTCAATGATCTGAGAAATTTGATTATAGTCCAGATATTAGGTGAAAGTCAATAAGTACTGTTCTTTTTGTCAGGTGTGATATTAACATTAAGGTGTAATAACATGTATATATATATATATATTTTTTTTTTTTAAATTTCTTTCTTTTTTTTTAAAGAGAGAGTGAGAGAATTTTTTTAAAATATTTATTTATTTATTTATTTTTAGTTTTCCGCGGACACAACATCTTTGTTTGTATGTGGTGCTGAGGATGGAACCCGGGCCACACGCATGCCAGGCGAGCGCGCTACAGCTTGAGCTATATCCCCAGCCCAACATGTATATTTTTAAAGGATATATACTGAAATATATCTAGGATTAACAAAAACAATTCAGAGAGAAAAAGAGACAGTGTAATAAACTCTTGATAATTTTTTTTGGGGGGGTTCAGGGATTGAACTCAGGGGTACTTGACCACTGACCCACACTTCAAGCCCTATTTTATATTTTTTATTTAGAGACAGTATCTCACTGAACTGCTTAGCATGTTGCTTTTACTGAGGCTGGCTTCTGAGCCTCTGGGATTATAGGTGTGTGCCACAGCACTAGGCTCTCTTGATAATTTTTAAATCTGGAATGAGTATGTGCAGGCTTGTTGTTCTATTATGCCTTTTTTTCAAAGTGTTGGGGAATAAGCCTAGGGGCTCTCTATCACTAAGCTACATCTTAAACACCCCCCACCCGCCCTTATTTTTTCTTTCCTTTTTTTTTTTTTTTGGTACCAAGGATTAAAACCAGGGGCACTTAACCACTGAACTACACCCCAGCCTTTTTTTTTTTTTTTTTGAGACAGGGTCTCACTAAGTTGCCCAGGCTGACCATGAACTTCCATTCTCCTGCCTCAGCTTTTGAGTTGCTGGAATTACAAGCACGTTCCACCAGTTGCCTTATTATCCTATATTTATATAAGTTTAAAATTTTTACATAGTAAAAAGTTTGTAAAAAACCTTGAATTCTAGTAATTGGTTTAATAGTTTGCTTTTTTCACCTGAAGAACATGAATTTTTATTTTATTTATTTTTTTTTTGAGGTACTAGGGATCAAAAATTGGGCCCTGCAGATGCTAGACAAACGTTTATTCACTGAGCTGCACCCCCAGCCCCAGAGCATGAATTTGATGGTGAGAATGCTGCTATATTTGGGCCTGTCTGCTGAAAAGAGTGTTTCTCTAGCTTATTAGTTGTCAAACTTGAGCTGCATTGGAGTCACCTGGAAGGCTGGTGTTTGCTAGGTCCTATCCCCAGAATTTCTGATTTAATAGATCAGGTCAGGTGCCCAAGAATGTGTACTTCTAACAACCTCGGTTGATTCTGATGTGGTCCAGTTATCATACTAAGAATTACTGTTCCAGCTATACCATCTCTTCCAAACCATCCTGCCTCATTTTTTTGCAAACAGTTCCATTCCTTTATTAAATTTTATATCAAGCATGAACTTTATCTGTTCATATGGCCCAATTTCTTATTTTACTTTTTTTATTCTGTGATATACTGAGAGTCAAAATCTTGCAAATTGATACTTACAATTTTTCACTGTTGGATCCTGATCTACCCAGCTTTCCAATTTTTTTCTTCCCTTATTCCTCTGACTTCAGCCATATCAAAATATCTGCCCTCTAAGTCAGGTACGGTGGCACACAACTGTAATCCCAGTGACTCCAGCAGGATTGCAAGTTCAAGGCCAACCTCAGCAATTTAACAAGACCCTGCCCCATAATTTAAAAAGTCGGGTGGGGTGTAGGGTGTGTGTGTGCTAGGGATGTAGCTCAGTGATAGAGCACCCCTGGAGTCAATCCCCAGTACACCAGTACCAGAAAAAAAAATCTGTCATCTAGACAAGTCATACATATTCCCACCTCAGTACCTTTGTCCATGCGTCATCCCCTAGTGGAATGCATTTGTGTGCGTGCACACACACCACACACTCAGAGTAGTCAAGGTCCATCCAAATCCCTCCTTCTCCATAAAGTCCTCCTTGGCCACTAACATCCATGATGATTCCCCACCACCACCATGAGGTCCTCTCATTTTACATTAATTATACTCTGTCCTGTAATAACTTTTACATTATTATTCATCTTATTATGCTTTTTACTTCAAGGGCTAAGTTCCTTGATGTCAGGGACTATGCTTTAAACAGAACTTCTTTGCATAGTCCACAATAGGCAATTTCATTTTCCTGAGAATAGAAGGGAAATACTTTTTTTCTAAAGTAAATAATGGGAGGTAGGAGGCTGGGGATGCAGTTCAGTTGTAGAGCACTTGCCCGGTATGCACAAGCCCTGGATGCAGTCCCCAGTACTACAATAAACAAATAAATAAATAAAGCGAACAATGGGGATGGAACCCATTGTTCTGTATATTTAGAAGCATGAGAGGTGAATAGAATCCTAATATCTACTTACCTCCAAGCAGTGCTATGAGAATAATTAATGTTTATGCAGGTCTTTGAGATCTTCAGATGAAAGAGTTCAGAATTGTTATGATGATTCCTATGACTCTTTCAAAGCCTCCAACCAAATATCAGAGCAGCTGTCAGATTTTCTCAGACTGAGAAGAGTCCTGGGTTAAGAGGTGACCTCCCAACCCTCCTGGAGATGTTCAGGGAACCCACACTTTAAAACAGAGTTGCAGATGGTAAAAATAGGAACAAAACAAACTCTTGACTCCCTGAGCAAAAGTGAAACCAAGATACTTCCTGGAGTCCTCTGGCGGGAAGTCCCTGGACTCTAGGACTAGCTGGCTGTGCCTTCTCCTCTGCTGGCCTCACTCAGGGCTTTCAGATGTCAGGACCTGCACTGCACTCACCTGGACCAGGAACTTCATGCTTCAGTTATTGCAGCTCAAAGTGATTTTTGATCTGAGTCTACAGATTTGGGCCTGAGGTCTACTCTTCATGATATCTCTCTCACTCCCTCAGAATAACTCAGTGATCTCTTTTTTGGGGTTTGTGTGTGTGGTGGTACTGGGGATTGAACTCAGGGACACTAGACCACTGAGCCACATCCCCAACCCTAGTTTATATTTTATTTAGAGACAGGGTCTCATTTAGTTGCTTAGCGCCTCACCATTGTAGAGGCTGGTTTTGAATTCTCAATCCTCTTGTCTCAGCCTCCTAAACTGCTGGGATTACAGGCATGTGCCACTGAGCCCAGTTCAAGTGATCTTGTGATTACCAGTTGAAAATTTATTGCAACACAAGTTACAGAATATTTAAGCTTAAATCTAAACTAGTTTCCATTTTCTTTGATACCAAATTTCTTTTTCTTTTTCTTTTCTTCCTGCTTACTGGTTTGGGTTGACTTGGATTGGTACCACTTTAACAATAATTCATTAACAATAAAAAATGTCTTCTCTGAGTCTAAAGCTATGACTACTTACGTTACAAAGAAAGAAAAGAATTCCAATACTTTTTCAGGCCCAGGCAGACTTGGGTACAGTTATAATTAAGCAGTAAATCACAAGATGCTGTTAGAGCATGCCTCAGATGGGTTGACAAAAGTTGAATGTCCTCACCTGCCAGCACAAAATAAAAAAATTTAAAAAGAAAAAGAAAAGTCAGCCAAGCTTACCCAGATGGGGCTTATACCTAGTACAATCATAAAGCCACTCCTGATTTCTATTTCCAGGAATGAAAAACCCAGAGGACAAAGATCCAGGGTAACATTACACACCAAATGCTAATTCCCTCCTTAGCAGATCAGGTCAAACCATTCCTGGTTTGCAACGGGCAACTTTGGTTTGGCCAATGTGTGAGATTAGACATCCCCAGGCTTTGACCAGGAGGATAAGAAAGTCTGCAATTCAACTGTAACAGCAACAATAAAATCACATAAAAGGACTCCATTCTTCCAGACCCTAAACTAGAAGTTATTCTTTTTTTGGCGACGGTTTTTGTGGTTTTGATTTAAGCACAAATAAAATGAACTTTTCTTTCTTTCTCTCTTTCTTTCTTTCTTTCTTTCTTTCTGACTGGCATTGGGATTGGTGACTGATGGCCAGCTGGACTGATCTTTCTGCAATGGCTTGTGGTTCTTGGAGGAAACGTGAGCAAACACAGTACAGTAAGATTTATTTCACATCAGCAGCCCTTCAAGCCCCTATATATGTGGACCACGGGCTTCCAGAAGGCACTGGGCAGCTTATGCTTTGTTTTCCTTTTCTTTTTCTTCTCCTTCTTCTTTTTCCTTTTGGTACTGGGGACACTTAACTACTGAGCCATATTCCCCGCCATTTTTATTTTGAGACAGAGTCTAAATTGCTTATGACTCTGCTAAAGTGCTGAGGCTGACCTCACGCTTGTCATCCTTCAGCTCCTGCCTTCCAAGTCACTGGGATTACAGGCTCACCCCATCGCACCCCACCTGGCATGCACTTTGTTTTCTTATTGCTCCCATAACCCATAATGGGCATCATCAAGATCTGGTCCTAGAATTTTCTCTGCACTTCGTTGTCAGTACCTCTAGGTTTCTACCAGTTATGTTTAATTTTGATATATGAGTCTGATTGGTGCCAGATGAACTTCTTGGTCCTCTTTTTTATAATCTGGGGCTTCATGGGAAGTCTGAGGGCCGCCATGATGCCACGCAAGGATGGCTGCCATCTCTGCAGGCAGCACCAAGGAAGCGAGAGAGAGTGAATCTACCATCAATTAACCAAGTGCTCTGTCCTCAGAGCACCTTGCTAAGGCTTCTGAGGCTCATTGTTGGCATTGGTCCTGCCCAGGGATATTGATGTGGGTAGCCCTTGATTCCTAACTCAGGCTTCAGTAAAACAAGAAAACAAGTACAGGAGGAGGCCCTGATTCTCAGTCTCTAGCTGCCTTTTCAGAATATGCTTCTATGAAGAAAGAGGTCTGTCTCCTGGACAAATACATATGAATGATAGCTTGATGATTCCGCCTCCCCAAACACCTCTCCCAGCACACATGGTGTGAGGCTCAGCTTTGTTAGGGACCAGTAAGCAGGAAGAGGGGGTGCACTGAACCAGAGGCAAAATAGCATTTATAGTAAGTTGTAATTAAATCATATTGCTACAGTCAGGCATGGTAGCACGTGCCTGGGATCCCAGTGACTCAGGAGGCTGAGGCAGAGGATCACAAGTTCAAAGCCAGCCTCAGCAACTTATTGAGCCCTAAGCAACTTAGTGAGACCCTGTTTCAAAATAAAAAAACAAAGGGCTGGTGATGTGGCTCAGTGGTCAAGCACCCCTGGGTTCAATCTCTGGTACAAAAAAATGAATATATGTATATATATATATATATATATATATACACACACACACACACATATACACACATATGTATATATGCGTGTCTATAGACATATATATGTATGTGTGTGTGTGTGTGTGTGTATATATATATATATATATATATATATATATATAGAGAGAGAGAGAGAGAGAGAGAGAGAGAGAGAGAATGCTGCAGTTTTGATTTTGAATGTCCCCCAAAGAAAGTGGGGCTTAGTGGAAGGAAGTTAGGCCACTGGGGGCATCCACTTTTTTTTTTACAAAAATTCCCAGCCCATGGGCTGGGGATGTGGCTCAAGCGGTAGTGCGCTTGCCTGGCATGCATGCGGCCTGGGTTCGATCCTCAGCACCACATACAAACAAAGATGTTGTGTCCGCCGAAAACTAAAATAAATAAATAAATAAATATTAAAAAAAATTCCTAGCCCTTTTTATTTTGAAAACACAGTCTCACTAAGCAACTTAGGTCCTCACTAAGTTCCTGAGGCTGGCTTCAAACTTGCAATCCTCTTGCCTCAGCCTCCTGAGTCATTTGAAATTACAGGCATGTGTCATCACACTTGGATACTGGGGGAATGCTCTTGAAATGGATTTTGGGGTCCCAGCCACTTCCTGTCTCTCTCTTTGCTTTCTAGTCAGCATGAGGTGAACAGGCCTCCTCCTCCCCATGCTCCTGCCAAAGATCCACAGCAACAGGGCCCAGCAACCCAGGATTGAAATGTCTGAAACCATGAACCAAAATAAACCTTTCCTCCTTATAAGTTGATTTTCTACCACTGTCCCAGTGGTAGAAAGCTAACACAGATACATTAAATTCAAGCAAGTCATGGGCTTAAAAGCCTTTTTTGTGATTTGAACTAGGACCCCAAACACCACTGGTAACATTTTTTTTGTAAGAAAAGGCTTCCTGCTGGGTACAGTGGCGCCTATCATCCCAGCAACTTAGGAAGTTGAGGCAGGAAGATCACAGGTTCAAGGTTAGCCTTGGCAATTTAGTGAGACACTATCTCAAAATAAAAAATTAAAAAATGCACTGGGGATGTAGCTTAGTGGTAAAGCACCCCTGGGTTTTATCCCCAGTACTTAAAAAGGTGGGGGAGGGGCAGAAATTTTAAAAAATACTTCTCAAGGTGTGCACATCTGGCTTATTACTTTTGGAACACAAATCTCTCAGTAAGTTGCTGCCTGAGTGTCCTGATCATAGGATCTAAGGCCTTCCTTCAGAATGCTCTAAGGTAAAAGGGATCTGAGGCTTTCTCATGACTCCATTGCTCACGGTCCATAACATGTTCTCTAAGCCCCTGAACATCCTGCATCATCAGCATCGCCTGGGAACTTGTCAGAAATGCAGTTTCTCAGGACTTATTCCAGACTTACAAAATCAGAAACTCTGGGGTTGGCAATCTTTTCACAACCTACTGCATGGCACTAAAATTTGAGAACCACTGGTCTGTCAAGAAAATATTTATACATGGAGAAAGTTGGGGGAGACGGGGCATTATTGTCTGCCTTGAGTGTGCTAAATATTTATGTGATTTGTCATATTTGTTCCTTCTTTGCCAACCAGTTTTTGCATGTGAATAGCATAAATCACCTCATTTTGTCCTCTTCAAGAAGAACCACCTGACAATGTATAGTGCACACTCTCTACCTGCCTTTTATCTCAGGCTGGAGACGAGATTCTGCTCAGAGAAAGGCTCTCCTTTAAGAACAAGGCCTCTCAGTCCTGAAGGTCACCAGGCAAGGGGCTTTCCCATACAAATCAGAGCAGCCTGGACAAGCTGAGGTAAGCAATATGAAGGATTGGCCACTACCTGACAGGAAGGAAATGTGCTCATGTGACTCAGGGGTCCCGCCTGGTCCTCCTGGGGAACCTGACAGCTTGGGAAATACCTGGCAGGCCAGTCCACATATGGTCAGGAGAGCTGTGGGCTGGGGCCTGCAAAGCAAGGACAAACACTCTCAATAATCTTTCATGAGCTGGTATCAGAATAAATAAATGGAAAGGCAGGGTGTGCCCAAAGGGCCTTAACCCTTCCAGAGAAAGTTGTATGTGAAGACTGCTCACAGAAATATGTGTTTAGTATAAGTGGGTGGCTGCTAATGGCTTGAATATGGCTTTTCCCCTCTGAAACTCATGTTAGAATTTAATCCCCGTTATGAGATATTAGGATGTGGGACCAGGTAGAATCTTTCAGAGGCGATCAGGGCTCTGTCTTCTTGAATGGATTAATTCATTCTTGCAACTAGTGGATTAAGAAGTTACCTTGCGAGTAGGTCTGCTATGAAAACCAATGTGGTTAGGTCTCTTGAGTGCTCCCTGTCTTTTACCACGTGATGCTCATGCTGTCTCAGGATTCCACCAGCAAGCAGGCCATCATCAGATGCAGCCCTTGACCTTGGACTAGAACCATGAGCCAAAATAAACCTCTTTTTAAA